TGATTCAATTTAGTGAGCGTTTGTAACGCCCCAACCTATCCATTGTCTATTAAACGTAGTCGCCATAGCGCTCACGGGAAAGACCAGGGCGCCAAATCGCATCCTGCCGGGGGGAGGGGGGGCGCCCTTGCAAAATCAAATCCAGTGTCACGGCAATTCACTTTTATTATTTTTATATACCACATGTAGAGAAATCGCACCCTCCCGAGGCGCCGCTCTTGCGAAATTAAAAATGATTTTTTTACAGAACCCTTCCCTGGAGTATTCTAATCGAATCCCTGAAGTTTGATGGCTATCGGATGAACGTTGTGAGACCGCAATCGACTTTTATATATTGAGAGAAAACAAATCGCGCCTTGCCGGGGCGCCACCTCTGCAAATTTAAAAATGTTTTTAAAGCAGAAACCTCCATAGAAATATTCTAAACATCTTCCCAAAGTTTCACGGCGATCGTGTGAACAGGCAATTCACTTTTATTATTTTTTTATACCGTATATAGAGAAAAATCGCACCCTCCCGTGGAGCCGCCCTTGCGAAATTAAAAATGATATTTTATAGAACCTTTCCCCAAAGTGTCCTAATGAACTCGCCACAGTTTGATGGCGATCGGATGAATGGTGTCAACCGAAATTGACCTTTATTTTTATATACCGTATATAGAGAAAAAACAAATCGCGCCCTGCCGGGACGCCACCCCTGCGAATTGGAATTTTTTTTTCGTAGAAACCTCCCCCAGGAATATTCTCAATAACTTCCCAAAATTTCACGGCGATGTGATGAGAGGTGTAGTAATGCATAAAAGACAAACAGACAGACAGACACACATACATTGCTTTATATATATACAGATAAGTGAAATAGCCGCTTTTTTGTAATCCTTTAATATAGAGAATTTGTAACAAAATGTGATTTATCATAGTTTATATTTGATATTATTACGATGTTTAACACAGTTTAATAAAATACCATAGTACGGTTTTCCAACTACCGAAGCTGCCAGAAATATAAAGGGGTCTGTCACTTTCTGGAACATTCCTCAATTCTCCAGTCCTAGCAACCCCCTAGTCGTCAACTTTACACCAGCCCTCACCCCCCCCCCAGCCATTTGAATCCAATTATCCTATGTTTTTCTGGACCGTCTCCCGTTCTCAAAGCGTAGTGTTTTATTCAGTAATCCATTCCCCGCTATCAAAAAGCGTAACACAAAACTGCTATTACATTTATAATAAGGCTTTAATGGTTTAATTATTAAGTATTAAGTTAATAGCATAATGTTGTTGCGAGAAAAATTGCTCCACACAGCGGTTTAACATGATAACCAATATTGTTGTATAACCAGTTCCTGACTAATTTTAGGCGATTATGTTATCAAAATGATAAAATCAACAAACAAAAACGCCAAGAAATTGATTAATCCGGAAATCACATATTCAAGCTGTTTTTTAGCGCAATTTCCATTCTGGAGAATTGCGTTTATTAACCCGTCATTTCTGGATGTATGAATGGATGTGTGTCCGCAGCTTTAAGTCGTATCTCCTCCTCAACGAAGCAATATCGAGGACTAGTTTCAAAGCAATTATGTTAAGCAAGTTACGAAGATGAACATAGGCCAAAAAATTCCAGGTTTCTTTCATGGATTTCCCGGAAAAGCCAAAAAACCTCGAAAAAATGCAGTTTTTGGCCCATATCTCGGCAACCAGACCACTTAGCGACTTGAAACATGAACCAATCGATTCCTGACATAATTTAGAACAATATTGCCGAAGAAAGTTTTCAAAATATCCTTTCGTTCGGTCACCAAAATTTTTTTGAATTAATTAAAATTTGGACCGAATTAGTAGGCATTTTTATCCAACCACACCACACGCGTCATCACGTTCAATAGCTGCGCCATCACGTTCAATGGCTGCGCCATCACGTTCGGTAGCTAGGCGCGCAATGGTTTTTAGTCATGTAACTCTATTGTGAATAAAACATGTAAAATACTGAAAAAAAATTAATAAAAAACGTTTTAGTAACTAACCAATGGTTTTACTAACCCTGCTCTTGATTTACGCTACGACAGAGCTATTTTTAGATAACATAAGGAAATTGCGCTAAAATTGTCACTAGACTTTTTAATTACCTTGTTTTTCCATTTGGTCAAACGTCCATTCAGGAAAACAGTTGCAGACCAATTTATTCCTGGCAAACATTTGGCATCCAAATACATGTGTTTACAAATCGATTTTTTGTTTCTAAAATAAATCAACTAAATGTTATATTACAAAAGACGGATGTTTTTCTAATGTAAAGTAAATATACAGTGGCGAAGCAGCAACCAGTTGCTTATGTGGGACACTCGCTTCACCTAGCAATGCAATATACAAAACACATACTGTAGCGAATGAGTGAAAGGGGAGGGTGGGGGATGGATAGGGTTGAAAGTTTGTACTTTGTACCCTTCCCGTTCGTCCCTGTTCAATCCTCGTGCTGTGAGTTGTGACAACCGGTTTGTACCTGTTTTCTGTAAAACATATATGGTGTGTGAGAACGATGTGGTTGCCTCAGTTAAGTCCAGTATAGGTTAGTTCTGTACTTTTAGATAGCCACTACATTATTGTTTGTGTATGTTAGTTTTGTACTTTTAGATAGCCACTACATTATAACTTGTGTATGTTAGTTCTGTACTTTTAAATAGCCACTACATCATAGTTTGTGTATGTTAGTTTTGTACTTTTAGATAGCCATTGTATGTTAGTTTGTGTACTAGCTTATGTATGTATACTTAGAATAGACTACGGTGTGTATATAGTATTAAACTCTTTTAGTGTTAACGAGCCGTTTTTTCATTTAGTAACCCGTTTGTTGTTGTTTCTTCTTATATCACCCGTAAAGGTGTGTCCGTGTTCAAAACACATACCTACGCATACCTATAGAGTTTAGATGAAGGTAATTTCAAACTCTACGCTCAGATTACGCGTTTGTTTCTTGGAAGAAAACGTTTTTCTCAAACGTTGTCTATGTGTTTATGGTCAATGTTTTGTAACTTACCTTTGACGAATGTTTTAAATGAAGCGATTTTTTTTTACTTTCCAAATGAGTGGCTATAAAAACCACCTTCGTTGCATTAACCTGTCTGTTTTCTGCAAGCTACAACTTGTTGAAACGTATCCGATTATTCTAGCAATTACTAACATTTATCTAATCTTGACTTCTAAATATACATTAACCCTAACTTTGAAACGAGTATACTTATGTATGTGTTGATGTTCTAAACGACGTCAATTCTCACGTAAATCTATGCCGAACTAAATGGCACCAATGATCAGTTTGTCTGACACTATGACAGATAATGATATCGGTTATGGAGATGGACATATTTACAGATTGTGGTCATCATTACTGTTATTCATGTAAGTTGGTTATCTACCCCACCCCCTCCCGTCCCACACCTGACCTGGGACACAATGCATCCCGGTCACAACTTGCAATTTGCAGGCGCCCGTCCCTCCCCCTCGCTGGAATGCCGGGGTCAGGCAGGGGTTAAAGAACCCGAGGGTGAAGCTTGGGCCGCGGGAGAATAAATTAACACGTTAGCCTTAGAAGTAGAAGCATGAAGTCGTGTTGTGTTTTTGTAAAGTGTGGTAGGGCTGGCCCCTAAGGCCGGCCGCTACTAATTAACTAGTTCTGCTTCCTTAGACCATAGTAAGACTACCATATAGAGTGTAGTTTCACCATCTATTTAATTAAAGTTGTTCAGCTGAAATTGTGTTGGTGCCTTATTCAACAATCAAGTAATCTACTGTGTCTAATTCACCACACAACTGTTTGATCTCTCACTGCAGTCATCAACGACATCACCATATACCATTGACTGATTCATAATAATTACCAAAAGCAAGGTTATTATATATAACATAAATTAAGCATCAGTAACATTTTATTCTTTATTCACAGCAAAGTCATGATATAACACAATAAGCGTTATCACTGATAGAACTGAGTTTTTTTTTTAATTTGGCTTTGAAAAAGTACACTCGCAGACAATAAAAAGATAATAAATAAGGTAATTAATAAACATTGATCAGTATTTATACAAGCTGCTAAGCAAAAAGCGGAGAAAAAATCCATTTGTAATTGTTTAATCTAAACCTATGTTCTACAATATATTTCATGTAAAAAATTAGCATTTCTTTAAAGGACGACATTTTTAACAACCTGCAGTAATGTTAGGTTAGACTGTTGCCCCTCATGTGCCAGGCTAGTCTCTCCAACTGTCCCCAGATGTATCCAATCTTATTGGTGTCAGGCATCTCTGTCCTGGGCTAGTCTCTCCAACTGTCCCTAGGTGTATCCAATCTTCTTGGTGTTAGACATCTCTGTCCTGGGCTAGTCTCTCCAACTGTCAGCAGGTGTCCTGGGCTAGTCTCTCCAACTGTCCCCAGATGTATCCAATCTTATTGGTGTCAGGCATCTCTGTCCTGGGCTAGTCTCTCCAACTGTCCCTAGGTGTATCCAATCTTCTTGGTGTTAGACATCTCTGTCCTGGGCTAGTCTCTCCAACTGTCAGCAGGTGTCCTGGGCTAGTCTCTCCAACCGTCCCCAGGTGTATCCAATCTTGTTGGTGTCAGGCATCTCTGTCCTGGGCTAGTCTCTCCAACTGTCCCCAGTTGTATCCTGTCCTGGGCTAGTCTCTCCAACCGTCCCCAGGTGTATCCAATCGTGTTGGTGTCAGGCATCTCTGTCCTGGGCTAGTCTCTCCAACTGTCTCCAGGTGTCATGGGCTAGTCTCTCCAACTGTCCCCCGGTGTATCCAATCTTCTTGGTGTTAGACATCTCTGTCCTGGGCTAGTCTCTCCAACTGTCCCCAGGTGTATCCAATCTTCTTGGTGTCTTCTTCCGGGTCAAGTCTCCAGATCGTTCCTGGTCGGTCCCTATACTTCAGCCCTATGGATGCCATGTGATAGCCTGTCGTATTATGCTGAATACAGGCTTCCTAAGTGTGTGGACTACCCTAGTCAATTTTCTCTGGATGATTTCTCCTTCATCTGGTTGCTGGTTTGTCTATAGCCATTGTGCCTCAACTGTGATGGTGTTAACCTGCATTAGAATATGTACATTTTCTATAGCAAATAAGTGAAAATCTATTTTCATGTGTCCAGTTTTATACAATAATTAAATATGAACACAGTGTTTCAGTTTTTCAAAAACTAATACATTTTAAAATATTTAATTATCGACTACATAGAAGTTTTAGTGCACGAAACAATTATTCTAAAAAAAAAGTAAGTTACTGGTAACTACAAAATATTTCTTCAGGGATTTGTTTTTTTCATTTATTGAGGTTCAAAAATGATGTTACAAAATAAATCACTGTGATTGTTGGTGCTAAAGTTCTAAAACTGTAAACAGTTATAAAAGTGATCTAAGAACTATCAGTGAAATTAATTTAATATTTTATAAGCAACATGCAGAAAACAATAAAGTAAAGACACGATTGTTTCCCCGTCCTTCTCACTGAGCATTGACGACGTTTTTTCTAAAGACAGGCCTCAGCTTTGAGAGCAGGAACTTTATGAGTGTGATGACGTCAGGAACTACTACAACTCCCATGGTGATCCCGAACAAAATGGCGCCAAATAAACCGACTGTCTTTGACGTCATTCTGTCGTCTGTAGCGGAAGTCTTGCTCCGTATGTAGGACGACAGGTCGTGAGTCTCAACGGTCAAGCTCTTTTTGATCTGGTCAATTTCTTTCTGAACGGCCTTTAGAGTACTGGACATGTTGATTCTGGTCTGAGTCCTACAGGAGCAGGGACAAGATGGTTGTGATCTGGTCTTGACACAGGAGCTACCATCTTGGTCAAGTTGGTAACCTAATGGGCAGGTACAGGTGTAAGAACCTAATGTGTTGACACAGGTATTTTCACAGGTGTGTAAGTTTTGTTTACATTCGTCCATATCCACACAGAGAAATCTGCTGTCGTTGTGTAACTCATAACCTTGATGGCAGCTACAGGTGTAACCACCTACAGTGTTCTTACATAACTGTGAGCAGTTGTCCTTGTGATCCTGACACTCGTCTATGTCCCCACATGATTTTTTATCGGACATCAACATGTAGCCGACCTCACATTCACAGCTGTAAGTACCAACAACATTAATACAGATCTGTTCGCACGTATAATACAAACACTCATCAACATCCACACACATCAATCCGTCCACACTGAGATTAAAGCCTTCTTTACACGGCAGTTTACAGAGCTTGTAGTTGTAAAACACGTTTGATTCCTTGTCCTGTAACCCAATTTCTGTCATTTGCACAAAGCACAGTGTCGTTCCTCTTAGCTCGCATCCCTGGTTGGGATACCCTAACCCCCACGCACTTTTTGTAATTGGCTCTAGTCTCCAAAAGTGTCCTGTGGTATTTTTTATTATATCTATCCACACATTATAGGACTGATATCTTTGTAATAAATAGTCCTGGATTTGAAAATAGTCGGCGTTTGTGTCAAAGAGAGCTAGTCGAGTTTGAGTGCCGATTTTGGAGCAATAGCTTAAAGAGTTATAATAACCTAGACCTTCTAAATTCAATATGTAACTTCCGCTGTTAGTGTTGATAGGTATACGTCCCCCAGCTTGAGTTTTGCCATACCCTGTTAAAATAAACAAACAATGTAAACAAACAATGTAAACAAGCAAGGTAAACACAGTCGCTAATTTATGATTACCCTAAATTTGTACTACGCTGTTACGTACGAAAAAAAAATCTCACATTTATGATTGCAAATTGATTTCCGTTAATTTTTTTTAACCTAACTGTAATGAACAAACACACTGTCATTAAACTATCAAAGGAGATTACTGTATTTCTGCGCTTAGGATGCTCAATATTCAATGAATAATAAAATCGTTATGATTTTCATAACAGCTTCCAGAATAAATCTTTTTAATTTCCGGGGTATAAAAGGAACCCAGGAATATCTCAAATTCCGATTATTGCAAATATAATGCGCGCATATCCTATCGCTATATTTAACTCCTAAATGATAGGTGAGGGGTCGTAAATTCAGTAATCATGTTTATCATGTTTTATGTCCTCTAGATAGTCATATATGTTTATCATGTTTCCTGTCCTTTAGATAGTCATACATATTTATCATGTTTCATGTCTTATAGACTGTCACATTATTATGTATGTCATGTTGCCTGTGTTCTAGATATTCATTTGTTTTCTGCCTTCTGGGTAGTCATATGTATATCCTGTTTCCTGTTTGAATTATATATCTCAAAGGGTATTCTGGAATGACATGGCCTAAACTAAAGGGATTAACAGCTTAGGGGTCATCCATAAATGACGTCACGCTTTTTTTCACGATTTTTACCTCCCCCCCTCCCCTCCGTCACACGTCGTCACAAAAAGCCAGACCCCCCCCCCTCTAAAATGACGTAACACCTCAACCTACAACCCCACTCAAAATTGCAGTTGAATTTTTTAAAACATCAATATTTTTCTAAAATCTTGTCTAAACTATTACAATTTATTGAAACAGTTATCTAAAACGCGAAATAACGTCTAAAATTAGGTTTCTAACATTGCTATTTTATAATGCAAAAGTGTGACGTCTAAACATCTGAACCCCCCCCCCCTCCTCCTCATCACACATCGTCACAAAATTACGGACCCCCTCTCCCCCCCTAGAAGTGTGACGTCATTTATGGATGACCCCTTATCTAGCTCGACCTCTGACAAGTGGCCTAAGAACAATGGTGGAGGTGGGGGAGGGATTTTGTTATGACTGCCTTGTAGCTTATTTTCAGTATTTTGTTATCTTTGGATTATGTCTTTCACTTAAGGTTATATATTTTAATATATTCAAAAATATTATATATTGAAACCTGACATGCCTGCTTAGTACAGATATTGTGCTAACACCCATCCAGATGTTTAGCTTAGACAATCGTAAGGAGACTAAATTTATGTTTAATAACTATCAATGCTTACAACGAATAGATAAATTATTCATCTTAAAGGCGTCTTTTCGAAAGTTAAAAAATGCGAATTACTTACAGATTAAAAAAATAATGATGGCCATCCATCTACCAGCAGATAATCTTAAAGACATGATTACTGTCTTTGCTATTAAACACTTTTTAAACTGAAATAAAAATATATTAGAATGTTTTCACTGTAAACTTTCTGAATGTTTTACACATTTCTCAAAAAAGAAAACAATAACAAATCCAGAAATGTAAAATGTTAGACATAAATATAGATCTATATACCATTTAACTATAAATACAATCACTGAGAGTTTCTTTTTTTTTTCTTATATTTGCAAAAAAAATTAGCAAAAGTTTCAAATGAAATGTAAGGTTTTTCTCATAAATTAATTCAATATAGTATTGCCGCGAATTTTCAACTCTTAATCACATATCTGTATAAAAGTATTTCCTTGCAAAGTGTTATATCACTATTTTATGTCCATTCAAAGAATGTAGCGGAATTATTAAACTAAACAAGAATTTAGTGCCTAAACAAGTGCCGTATTATTAGACCCTTGCAGTATCACAAAGATTTGTGTTACCTCACCTCTTCTTTACCGACATGGTTGGCTGAACAAAAAGAACGACCTTCTTGGTGAGCTAAACAAATTCAGTCAAGCAAGTCGCACAAGATCACTCAATCAATTTCGTATGTTCGACAAAATATTAATTCAGAATTCAAGCCTGCTGATATTTCCAATACAAAAAAAATTGTTATCTCAATGGTGGGAATATATCGTTATATGATAGCAACAGTGTGAGGTGGCCAACGTAAATCTAATTAGTAATTAATGTTTTCGAGTATAACGTACTGTTATGTAACTATGGTCCAGCACAAGATACAGAGATGGCCGTACGCCCCAGCACAATCTTTTGTGTGGTACTGTGGTCAGCACAATCTTTAGTGTGGTACTGTGGTCAGTACAATCTTTAGTGTGGTACTGTGGTCAGCACAATCTTTAGTGTCCAACTGTGGTCAGTACAATCTTCAATGTGGTACTGTGGTCAGTACAATCTTCAATGTGGTACTGTGGTCAGTACAATCTTTAGTGTGGTACTGTGGTCAGTACAATCTTTAGTGTGGTACTGTGGTCAGCACAATCTTTAGTGTCCAACTGTGGTCAGTACAATCTTCAATGTGGTACTGTGGTCAGTACAATCTTCAATGTGGTACTGTGGTCAGTACAATCTTTAGTGTGGTACTGTGGTCAGTACAATCTTTAGTGTGGTACTGTGGTCAGTACAATCTTTAGTGTGGTACTGTGGTCAGCACAATCTTTAGTGTGGTACTGTGGTCAGCACAATCTTTAGTGTCCAACTGTGGTCAGTACAATCTTCAATGTGGTACTGTGGTCAGTACAATCTTTAGTGTGGTACTGTGGTCAGTACAATCTTTAGTGAGGTACTGTGGTCAGTACAATCTTCAATGTGGTACTGTGGTCAGTACAATCTTTAGTGTGGTACTGTGGTCAGTACAATCTTTAGTGTGGTACTGTGGTCAGTACAATCTTTAGTGTGGTACTGTGGTCAGCACAATCTTTAGTGTGGTACTGTGGTCAGCACAATGTTCAATGTGGTACTGTGGTCAGTACAATCTTTAGTGTGGTACTGTGGTCAGTACAATCTTTAGTGTGGTACTGTGGTCAGTACAATCTTTAGTGTGGTACTGTGGTCAGCACAATCTTTAGTGTGGTACTGTGGTCAGTACAATCTTTAGTGTGGTACTGTGGTCAGTACAATCTTCAATGTGGTACTGTGGTCAGTACAATCTTCAATGTGGTACTGTGGTCAGTACAATCTTTAGTGTGGTACTGTGGTCAGTACAATCTTTAGTGTGGTACTGTGGTCAGTACAATCTTTAGTGTGGTACTGTGGTCAGCACAATCTTTAGTGTGGTACTGTGGTCAGTACAATCTTTAGTGTGGTACTGTGGTCAGCACAATCTTTAGTGTGGTACTGTGGTCAGTACAATCTTTAGTGTGGTACTGTGGTCAGTACAATCTTTAGTGTGGTACTGTGGTCAGCACAATATTGTGGTGAGTACAATCTTCCACATTGTACTGTGGTCAGCACAATCCTCAATGTGATCAGCACAATCTTCAATGTGGTACTGTGGTCAGTACAATCCTCAATGTGATCAGCACAATCTTCAATGTGGTACTGTGGTCAGTACAATCTTTAGTGTGGTAGTGTGGTCAGCACAATATTGTGGTGAGTACAATCTTCCACATTGTACTGTGGTCAGCACAATCTTCAAACCTGGTACTGTACCTTACTATATACTACATTGTATATCCCTGAACACACGTATATATTTTAAAGAGAAAAGTAATGGAGACTTTATACACATAAGTGAAATAGCCGCCTTCATGCAATCCTTTAATATAGAAAATTTGTAACAAAATGGTATTTATTATAATTTATTTTTGATATTATTACGATGTTTAACACAGTATAATGATGTACCATAACACGGTTTTCCTAATACCTCTTTAGAGCAACAAATAGCATTACCGAAACTGCCAGAAATATAAAGGAGTCTGTCACTTTCTGGAACAGTCCTAGCCGTCCCCTAGTCGTCAACTTTACACCAACCCTCACCCCCCCCCCCCCAACCATTTTAATCCAATTATCCTATGTTTTTCTGGACCGTCTCCCGTTCTCAAAGCGTAGTGTTTTATTCAGTAATCCATTCCCCGTCATCGAAAAACACCACAAAACTCCTATTACATTTATAATTACGGGTTTAATGGTTTAATTATTGAGTATTAAGAACAACTGCTCAACACAGCGGTTTAACATGATGGCCAATTATGATGTATAACCAGTCTTTGGCTAATTGTAGGCGCTTATGTTATCAAATGGATAAAATCTTAAAAGAAATAGTCTAATCCGGAAATCGCACATTCTAGCTGTGTTTTTTTTTTCATTTGGTTAAACGTCCAGTAAAACAGCTTGCAGACCAACAGACCAATTTATTCCTGGCAAACATTTGGCATTTAAGTACATGTGTTAGAAATCGATTAGTTGTTTCTAAAATAAATCAGTTAAAATGTTATAGTACAAAAAAATAATAATAAAAAACGTTTTAATAACAAGTTTTTATGTAATAATGCACTGAAAAGTAGAAAATAAATTATACACTACTATTTAAATTACTATAAAGAAAAGCTTGGGTCACTTTAGTATCTATTGGATATCGTTACTAATATTTAGGAAGAGACCCACGCTTTTCTTTATAGTATTAAAAGCTTGTGAGGATGTAGACGTGT